CTCAGTTCCTGTGTGCTTGTTAGGATTTAACAAATCTATATTGAAGTCACCACATATGAACATTAATTTATGACTTATTGTCAAGTAATTTTCTTCCATCCAGTCATTAAATTTTTCTATGCTGGCTCCAGGTGCTCTATAAATACAGCTTATTACAACATTTTTCTTTTTTTCCACGAGTATTTCTACAGTCACACACTCCAGCAAATTATCCACCACCCTTGACATTTTCTCCACTTTGTTATGTTTTTAGTAAGGGGATTTCAGAAACAAAGCCACATTTTTAATTGAAATTAGCTTGACTGCAGTAGCTCATCCTCGCCAGCAGACTGACCTGGCAGTCAGTTTGGTCAAGCCAACAGTTCCCTGCTTATTCCATAAAAACTTTCATCTGGAAAATTTTTTCACAACAACATGCAGGGAAGGAAAAGAGGAGAGAAATCCCAGGAACTTCTCAGGCCATGTAGTGGAAAAGCCATTAGAGAGCAGCTGATCAGGAGGGATGAGGAACTGGAGGATGAATGACAAGTGCCTGCGCTCTTCTACAAAGGTAAACAGATTTTTCATAAAGGCATTCCCTGGCACATTGTGGCTGGATTCACTCTATGGCCAGCTTTAGCTGGTGCTTCCTTCCAGCTACAGTATTTCCTAACTCTCTCTTTAAACTTTAAAATGAAAACTCCCTCAAATTAAGAGGGCCATTTCATTTAATGCTATTTCTCACATTAAGGAACTGAAATGTAGGCCCTTTGGTGCCGTTACTACATTAATCTTACCTCTTTAGAGCAAACCTCAGTTGAGAAGGGTTCTTAAGGAGGGATAAAGTAAAGTCATATTCAAAATTAAGACTGAGAGTAGAAGCACTCGCAGGTATGAGACACTGACAGTGAGCAAATAAGTATTCCCGGTTAAAGTTGTTGGGTGGGTGGGGGGTCCAATATGACACATATGTTTCTTTATTGCATTATAGCAGCATTATGCTTAGTGCTACCAGTGAGGAACACTGAGCATGAAGATGCCACCCAGTAGTTTTGCATTCCTGTGTCAGGCCTATGTTGTGGTCATAATGCAAAGATCTTAGGAGAGGTTTACATTTTTTCACATCTGTTTTAAAACAATAACATTATGCCCATATATATATACATTGAAAGTGTATTTGATTGATCTGGTGGAACTTTTGCATCCGTATAATCCATCGCGGTGCCTCAGATCAGCAGATCAGCTTCTTCTGGAGGCACCAAGGGCCAGGCGGAAAACTAGGGGGGACAGAGCCTTTGCTGTGATAGGTCCAAACCTATGGAATGCCTTGCCGCTTTATATTAGGCAGGCCCCCTCACTGTCCACTTTTAAGTCTTATTTGAAGACCTACTTCTATTCATTGGCGTTTGACCAGGAATGACACTCTGTCTGTGGTGTTAGTGTTTATATTATTGTTTATAGCTTTTTATGTGTTGTTTTTATATTTGTATGATATGTTAAGTGCTTTGGTCAGCTGTGCTGTGGTAAAGCACTATATAAATAAAGTTGAGTTGAGTTGAGTTGAGTTGTTGCAGTTGTTCCTATAGCCACAAGGAGATCCCTTTCTAAAGTGTACTGTAAGTAACAGGGGATCAACTCCACAGTTCTTGTTCTGTGTAAAAACAAATTCTAAAGTTGAGCTGAAGATAATATGGTGCTTAATCGAATCAAGTACTACCCTCCAAAGGTAGCCTTTTTTATACAAAAGTACAAATCTGATATGAGGATGCTTGTGTTGTTTGAAGGCAGACTTGAATGTGTCCTTTAAGCTTAGGCAGTTGGAGCTCAGAAATAAAAAAAAAGCCAATAAAACATTGAATATGCAACTGACCTCCTCACCAATAGAATGTACACCACAAGTTACTTGTGAATGTGTATGTATGCTTATCAGTTTAGCCTCAACCTGTCAGTCATTCCTTTAATGGCTCAGATTAATGAGCTGTAAAGGTGCTTAAGTGAAAGTTACAATGTCCTTATCATGTCTGCTATGTTTAGCACTGTGTCATACTGCAAATCTCCTACATCAGTCTGTATCTAGGGCAGTTTGTCATGTGACCTGTGTGACAGTCAGCTCTGCTGTGGCGAGTTTTATTTCAGCCTCACAACCATGAGATAAGTGGACTTAGCACTGATCATCACTGCATTGCTGCCAGTGGATCAGGGGGATATTAGCAGAAAGAATATGTTAACAAGGCAAAGATATTCATTGTACAAAATGATTATAGTCTCCTTTTTAGGTGTATGCAGATCCCATCACAGCTCTTTCTGGCAGCATCAAGCCCGATTTGGACAAGTTTCTGGCTGGGCCTGTTGGGCCCGGCAGGCCATGGCAGGGATTTGCCTCTGTCAGTGGAGGACCTATCTAAATAACTAACATCAGGGAAAAGAGACACTCACTCTACACTGGAAAAAAGAAACCTGCAGTTAAAAGATAAATGAGCGAATTATCATGTTTGGCAAAGGGTTTCTGTCTGGACCAGAGCAGTACAGCAAACTTGATTTGGACTCAGACTGATATGAAATGAGAGGCATTACAATTCTGGTTTTAAGACATTTTATTGATGAAAACATCTTTACCCTTTTGACCCATTGGACACATAGCATAATATAGCAAAAAAAGCTATCGAGAACATTTCCTTTGAAGCCCAATCACAGATTCAAAAGCACTGCAACCTCCACAGTGTCTGGTACATTTATAAAAATAACAATCAATAAAAATATACATACAAGACAATAGTCTTTTCCTTTCTTTTTCAAAGTGTGATTTGTAAATGACTGAATGAACAGATACAGATATTTGAGACAATGCATACAATATAATGCAGTAACCCACAATCTCAACTGATAGGCACAATCACTAACTGACAGGCAGACTGGAACTAGCTAGTCAGCTGTTAGGACATCACTGAGTATAAAATGACGATACATTGCCTGCACAATCCAAAGGATGCCATCAACGTGGACAGCCAATGAGCAGAAGAGCAGTTATGGATTACGAGATGTATGCGAGACAGAGGATGAGAAACAAAGCCAGAGAAAGTAACTTTTTTTTTTTTATTAAAATCTTGAGTTGATGCTGGTAGTAGCACCTAACCTACCTTTTGATATTTAAAATCACCACTTTTCAATAAGGAAAGGCTGCCAGAGTTTGCAAGGATTAAATGTTTGGCAAGCTGAAGCATCATATATATACAGTTCTAAAAATGTGTGTAAAATGAAGTATAAAAGCATTAATAAGCAGCAATAAAGCAACTTCACAAATGAACCATAAGTTGCAACTTAAAGTCTCATCACACTGATGTGAATGCATGCAATTTTCCTCAGTTTCCACAACTCATTTTAACAACAATCAGATGAATAAACCAGACAGCTAAGCTGATCAACAGAATGTTTTGGTCACCCGGATAAAAGGGAGGAGTTGCAGCACTGTCCTTTCAGTTGTAATCTGACCTTAACCGAGACAGTTTGTATAGTAAAGCATAGTAGCCCTAGAGAGAGACAGACCCCATCACCAGCTGCACCCATCTCTCCAGTCTGACTCACTCTACCTCCCGCCTTTTAATCACACTTTCCTTTCTCTCTTTTATACTTTCCTCCATTTCCTTTTCTCTCAGTCTTCTACATCAACACACACCATCTACCTCTGCAAAAGACCTTGTTAGACTAGAGGGCTATCAGTGGGGCTGCCACAATGTTTAGCAACATTTTCTGAACCCTAAAATAAAGTGTCTGCAGACCCAACCCCAGTTAAGTTCAAGCCCTTCAGCAGCACCTGAGGAATTCCCTGCCAGGGTGCTACAGCAAATAGTGTCTCATCATCTGAGGTCTCTTAGCAAATATCCTTCAACTGTAGGAGGAAGCATGGGGAACACACACACCAGCTCTATCAGTCTCTTAATCTCTTATTTTTTTAGAACTTGATTTTTCTCAAATGAGAAAAGAGAAGCACCGCTATACAAAATATACAGGAAATAATGTGTGTGTGTGTGTGTGTGTGTGTGTGTGTGTGCGCACGAGAGAGAGTTTTCTTTGTTGCTGATGATCTGAAAATGCTTACCAACCATTGCCATAAGAGGCAAAACAATACTAATAATAATTCATGACAGTTTAGCAGAAATACAATTTTGGTGTGTCAAAATATCAACACAAAAATTGTAACTCTGCAACAACCCATCAGTCACACATCTGACTGCTACTTTATCACACTAATGCAAGGTGCTCTTTGGCATCCAAACACATACAAATACTGACTGTGCATGATTTCACATATACATTCACAAGCCTCTTGGGTGCTGTTGTGTTGTGTGCATGACTATAAACAGAGTGGGGCTAATTCGCCTAAATCACACGGACTGCTCATTGTTTTCTATGCCTGCTCAGAGGCAATAGGCACTTAGAAACACACAAATGTTCATATATACAAATAAACATAGCTTCATATTTTGTTTATTTTCCCCCCATCAAAATTGGGTTTTAATGTTAAGAACAATCACTAAAATCTTTGGTCTGTAAACAACCAGAATTATATCCAAATGCAAGGCGAAAATGCCAGGTTGTTTTCCAAACTAGTTTAATAGCATCTCACCTCAGTTTAGCTCAAGTAAAGCAAAGTCTAGGGAGCTCATTTTGGAGCCCTGCACACACTTTCACCCAGTGTGTGTGTGTGTGTGTGTGTGTGTGTGTGTGTGGGCACTGGGAAACACACCCCTGAAAGCTGGGCTGTGGTAGCTGGCATCTTCAGGGCTCTGATGCAGCTGTTTGGTGTTCTGTTAGAACATGCTGGCTAATCAGTTCTTGACAGTTTCAATCAGTCTCATACACTGTGGATGACAGTTCTCCTGCTTGCACCCAAGGCCGTCAGACATTTGGATTTAGCCATTACTTCCACGCTACCCAAATGTAGTCTTTTCCAAACCCAACTGGACTGGGCAGGTTCAGGTGACAACATTTCAAAAAATGTGAGATATTCACATTGAAATATGGACTTAAACTGAAAGCCAAATGTCCTTAATTTAGCATTCATACTCAATGTATGAACAAAAACACAAGCTTTGATGCAAAACATTAAAAAGAAGCCTCCTTTTTCTGTCAGCTATCACACACTGGGCAGGTTTGAGGCAGCAGCTATGCTGCTCACCTTCCTTCTTTCCTCAGGGCTGTCTCAGTTACAGGGCAGCCAAGTGGAGTATGCAGGTTGCTGGCAAGCAAACACTGGCTGAACCTGGGCTATGTAGTAGTTACTGAAGTTGCCATCTGCCACATAAGGAGCAGGTTGGTAGTAACATGTAACATTAGCCACGTTGGGGATGATATTCTGCTCGGCAAGCACCCGCACTGCCAGCATGGCTATGAGCCCTAAGGTCTGCCGCCTCTCGTGTCCCATCAAACACACCGTACTCTCATTGACCACCCCGTGCAGGGTCATCAGGTAGTCATACTTGCGGTCCTCCAGGCCCACAAAGTGGTTTTGAAGATAGGACTCCAGTTTGCGCTGTTGCTCACTGATGTCAGGGAAGTCAATGAAGAAGCGTGAGCACATGTAGCGCTGCAGGGACTTCATCTCTGATTCAGAGGCTGCCCGAAAACCCCTCACCAGCAGGTGACAGTACTTCAGCAGACCCCCGCCTCGAATCTCTTCTGGGTTTCGAGTGCAGATGATCTTGTGACGTAGGTGGTCCAGGGCCTCGCTGAAGTCCCCATACACGCTCTCACCCATGATGGTAGGGTGGAAGGTCTCGGCCATGGGATTCTCTGAGCATTCATAGAAGAGGAGCAGGGAGTCCAATTTGATCTGAAAAGAGTCTACGCTGAACTCAAACTGCCTCCGAAGGGAGTCCACAAACTTCAGCTCCACATTCTTTCCTCGGTTGTTGGAAAGGGAAATAAGACTCCAACGATCTGAGTCGTTACAAACCTTCACCATCTTCTGCACATAGGCTTCCTGTGTGTGTGTGTGGGGGGGGATGGAGAAAGACAGAGCATAAACATTAACTAGACAGCCTTAAAGATTACAAACATGAATTCAGCAGAGCCATGTACATGCATATCAAATTTAGACCTAATTTTGAATTATGCAACTAGGTATTTCAATGTGCATAATTAATAGCTGCGTCTTTGTGTTATTAATGATTATTAGTGACCCAATATTAAAGACCATAGAATGTACTTGGATATGAGCTCTGGGTGGCCGAGCTCACGATCCCTTCCAAATTGGTTTAGCTCAATCCTCTTAACTACAGAAAGCCAACATTTTACTATCACTAATCTAAATGCACATTAAGCTGCACGTAATGGCCGTAAAGCCGAATTGGCACAAATGAAATTAAATCTTACATACTAACATTCCTAGAAATCAGCAACTGAAGCAGAAGAAAGCTGCACAAAGTTATCAGGGTGAATGTACCTTTAACGTTAACGGGGTTATTTTCTCTTTATTCACACAATCGGGTAAAAAATCCAGGAGACAGTCCAAAACTATGTCCTTCACAGTCTGGAAATCACTTTCACCTTTCATATCTGCGCAAAATATGAGGTCAAGGTCCTTGTAGCCCAGTCCGCTATCCTCATGCAGAACGTAGCTGGCTGCAGAGCCGTTTAACCGAACGTCCCGGACGTGGATCTGTTTGTCCTCCATTCGACTCCGCACCACTTTGACGATCTGCCGCGGCTGCATCTCCAGAGTGGGGAAGTTTCGCCGGCCGTGGATCGGGACGGTCCCCGTCAGGATGGCGTCCAGGCGCTGCACTTGCTCCCAGTTGAGGACGCTAACGTTACTGCTTTCTGTTTCCGACACCCTGTTAGTGCAACTGTCGTCCTCTGACATGTTGATGCGAGAAAGGTCCTCAGCAATTTAAACACAATAACAATTAAGTAGTTTTCTCAAAAAATGAACAAATGAATTTACGCACAATTTTTATATAGACTAGTTGAATCGCTTTAGGTTCATGCGCATCAGGATCCACAGCATCTAAAGCCGTCCGAATTTACTGTAAACAGAAAAAACTAACCCAATGCAAACAGTGATAGTCGCTGCAACGCGTTATACTGTAGTTTGCGCAAAAAGCCTGAGGATGTAGATGTAGTGGCGCAGAAGTCAAACTGATGGTTGTATTAACGAAGAATTGCAGCCAGTCAACAGAAGCGACAAAGAAACTAGTCCTAACTTTCTCTTCCCCTGCGCTTTTAAAACATTTGCCCGGGTGCCGCTGTCAATGCGTCCGAGCGCTGCGCATCAGTCTTTGATGGTCGCTGATGATCCAGGAGGGGGGTTGCTTTCCGGCGGTGACTCCATCGCCCAAAGGCACGCCTATGAATTTATGAATTTGCATGAATACGTTTCTCCTCAAGTCGCACTTTGGCACCCACGATCAACCCCACAAAGGAATCTTGTGGATTTTTACGCACAGCTCCTATATAGCCTACATTTATTTTCTCCTCCCACTACCAAAGAATAATCCCAGTTAATGCAACTTATATAGTGTCCAGGAAGTCCAGCTTGCTTTCCCTAACTTTGTTTGGTTCAACATATTTCCCCACTTGTGGAGGAGTTAACCGTTACCTGCCCACTTAAGTGCAGTGTGCTTCTGCAAGAGTCAGGTTTGTAGTCTGAAGATGTCAGCTCTAGCTACTCCACCCCACCCCCTCCGATAGCCAGGTGCTAGTCTCAAAATCAATAATTAGTGAGAGAGAATAATAATTATTTATTTGCTGTGGTTAGCCAACACTAACATTCAAACATGACTGAGAAAAATAGCATTAAATATAAAAGTATTTTACTTTAAGGTTGAACTGGTGGTGATCTGCATATGGAGCTGACTTGACGTTGCCATGTCGCCCTCTGTGGGCCAGTTTAGGTCTTGATATAAAGTAACGCAGTGCCTTACAGTCTATTTATTACCTTTAAAGTGTTACATTAAAGCTCTGTGATATACATTAAACACCTGTTAGACACGCCTTCAGATACACATTAAATCACTAAATGGTCATAGAACCTCATTAAGAATCTAAATGTTATTGTCACTAATTCTGTATCCAGATTTTTCAGGTTTTCTTATACTTTGCCAAACCATGAGTGGTTGTTGTTTCCAACCACTAGGCAGTTTCTGGTTGAGGAAACATGTCAGGGGGTCAGGGACCTGCAGCGGCCATATCAGGGCAGGACACCTGCTACAAATGCTCCATGAGGCAGTGTAATCCCTGCGTCACTACAGCCACCCAGACCTGTAAGCCCCGAAGATCCCATTTACTCTATTGTACTGTCTTAACTACCACACAGGAGCTGTGCCTCTGCACAGTGTCACCTCTCTGCAGGACAGGACATGCACATAGTTAGTTATACTGTATATTGACATTTACAGCCACACTGTGCAGCTTTTACAGGGTAGGATTTGGGAGCAATGAAACCAGCTCCCAAATCATCAAATAATACACATTAAGAGCTTTAAAAAGTGTTTAAATAGTATAATAATTTAAAGAATGGACCCCCAGTTTTTAACCCTTGTTTTGTTTTCATGCTTTGCTTTGGCATGTGTCAGACAGGTTGATAGCAGGTCTTTGAAAATGAATTCCACATCTGGAAATGTACATAGAACTATTAGCCAGTTACAGTGGACCAAGAGCAGTCTCACTGATGTGTTCCCCAGGTGTGTAGAGATGATTGCTATAAAGTGGACTGAGTCCGTCCGCCGTGCATGGTGCAACCACTCTCTGCAAAGATAAAGCAAAGCTGCTGTCAGAGACTAACAGCAGGTACAGTCGATAAACGTCCAAACAAGAGCTGTGCTGATGAGCTGCATTGTGTAAATACAACCTGGCACCTCGTTAGTGCATGATTCATTGTTTGGTGGTTACTGAAAGTCATAAATAAGCTTTTGCTGTCAGAAATTTAAATGGAAACAATACACACCCTTCTGACCTGGTAACATTGATGTTTTCCCCTGTTGTTAAATGAACCTGTATTCAATTCATAGATAAAAACCTAAAACTCCTGGAGACTCTAATGTGTGTGGAAGAGACTGCTTTTCCTCATAAACCTATCTTTTACAATCACAATATGTGTCTCTGGGGTCTATGAGACATTTTCTGGATTTTCTGACTACATGGATGGATTTATCTACCATGACGTGTAATAACCCTGCTGCCTTTGAGCTTTTTTTCCTTCAGGTCAAGACTCTGTTAAGTTGGACCATCAAAACCTTCTTTTATGGTTTAGATCACTGAACATCATCCAGCACTTTTTAAAACTTTTTTCCTGATGACATGCAGCCTTAAAAAAATGTTTGTACCAATATGCAATCTATGAAATAAAACTCATCTTTGTGGCAGGGTTTTATAAGACAAGGTTGATCAATATCAAACATTTAATTAAGTCCCAGTTTTGACCTTTAAATCATCATTAATGTGAGTGTAGTTTTGAACTGAGAGAATCTGGGCATTGTTATGAGTAGATCTCAGTGGTACTGGATCATATTGGTGTGGTCAAAGGGGTCGAAGCTACAAAAGATGGTTTGATGGTAAAAACACTGTATGGAGCCTCAAAAGTGTTCAATATTAATAAAAATAAAGACATTGAGTTGAAATCAAATGGCAACATGAAAACAATTTGTCAATCTAAGGAGTCACTCATAGAGATGAACCTATGAAGAATTATCACCCCACTGTAGCAGGTTTCAGCTCATTGTTTAGATGTCCGGTTGCAACTTTACCATTATGGTTCACTCTCACCACTCTGTTTCCCAACAGGCAGGCAGTGTAAAGCTCTAAAAAGCAGCTGTATACTACCTAATTAGCACCAAGCAAAAAACAAACACTGTTAGTGATTAGCTGGGGATCACAGTGGAGCATTTAGCAGCTAAAGCGACAGATATTTCCCAGAGCTAGTATTAATAGCCTATTGGATTTACAATGAAGAGAAACACAACTCCAAATGATAATGTTGTTCTGTTACTGTTTGATGTTTCGCTATTAGCTGTTATTTTTCTTACTTTTTTATTTTAAAATGCCCACTTTTAAAAGTTATGACTCTGTTCACAGTAATGCAGGAACTCTGTCCCTTCATCTTTTAGTCAGTCATATGTCCCTTCAACCTTTCTTAGCAAGCTCACTGACTGAAACTCCCATTTCTCTAGTTGGCTTTTGCTGGATATAATAACAATAACAACAATACCAAAGTAATTCTGAACTGACCAAGTGTTGATTCTGTAAAACACTGTGCACAGAACAATGACCAGCTCCTCCTTTTATTCATTTAGTCTTATTTCATTTCATCATGAGAGCCACTTAGCTGGATTTATCCTTCAGCATTAAAGTGAATAGCTAGAGTTAATATGAGCTATCTGGCCAGTACAGAATTAAAACAGGCAGATTTTAGATTCTGAAGATGCTCATCACAGAAAGACAAAAAACTTGTGTGTGAAGAGCAAAGGCTGAGGTTGTTAACAAGAGCTAGCCGTCAGTTGTCAACCCTCCTAGTGGGCTGTTGGATATGACAAGTCCACTGTCGTAAATACTGTTTTGAAATAAAAAATAAAATTCTATAAACTAATGACAGGAAAATGAAATACAACAGCAATAACACATTGTAGTCATTTTCTAGTGATTTATTAAAGTGAATTCACAAATTGTTTTTAGTCTATATTTTCTGTTTGTTTTTTTTTACTAAAATGCATTAATATATCCATGTTTTTTATGTATTTAATATTGGCCATGTTGGAGCTTCACAATTCATTCTTTGTTGTGTAGGAGGAGCTGCAGAGAAACAGTCCAACTGTTTCCCCTTTTATAAGAATGATATTGAATATGACTTTAACCTAAAAAAAATAACGCTAGTGAATTCAGCCAGCAAAAGCCCACAAGCCAACTGGTGTGCATTACCGTCTGTAATGCGCCTGTGACAAGAGAAACCTGTGTTAGTCTACCACTGATGTATTTTGATGCTCTACCTCCTCTCCAATTATAGCACTTTTTAAAGAATGAGTGGTGTGCAATTTTGTTTCTGCTTCTGTACACTATCAGCCATGAGACATGCTGAGTTTCAGCTTAGTTATTAGTGTTTCTGTCTCATTAGTAGCAATCCAGCAAAAAAAAGACCTCTTTCTATCAACTTCACATTCAGCAGAGGAACAGAAAACAGAGCCATTGTACCGAAACAGGAAAACGAGCCAATAAGCAGTGATGAATGGGGAAAAAAATGCATGCCAAAGTGCAAAAATGTTCTGTTGGCATACGTACTTAGTTTGTTGTGCTGACAGCAAGGGATTAAATTAAATGTCAAACAACAGACATTTCAATTTTTTAACTGCCAACACAAGTAGAAAACCAATTTTCTGCTGCCAGTGTGGCCTGAAGCAGTAAGGTGGAACTGAGTGTTGAACTTGATCAAATAGAAACTGCAGTGTGATTATGGTCACATATGGCTGAGCAGTTTCTGTGACAGTGCTGCCTTAGAAAATGTGACTGATGACATAACTAGAAAACAAAGATCCTCTCATCCCCTCTGTGTGTCCTCACTCCTCCCTCAGCCTCATCTTACCTTCACAGAGATAACTGGATTTCCAGGAGGGTCACTTTGTCCCGCCTGTCGGAGAGATATTCCCACAGCTGGCTGCAGAGTTTGTTTTGGTTGTGGATCAGAGGCACGGAGAAAGAAATGGGATTTCAAGTCCTTCAGTCAAACTGCTTCTAACCTCCAGTGACAAAAAGCTGGAGAATCATTCTGCCATCAAGGAAATGTAGTGTGGGGGTTACACGGGGTGTGTGGAGTGAAGGAGCAGCAGTGCTTCAGCATCACTCCAGTACAGAAGATCCCCTTATTTCAGCTCTATTTGATCCCAAAGAGATGGTGTGTGTGGTGTGTTTGATTTCAAATTATTCTGGCAGATTAATGCTGACAATTACAGAGGGAGTCCTGTTTCACAGGGACACAGAGAGGCCCATCTCACCTAATCATCCTTATTACAGGGTCTTTGTGATCTCACAGCTTGCAGACTCGGGGACAGTAAAGAAGCTGAATGCTGCTGCTAAAGCACTTATGTGACTAATAGACACTCCAGACATGTTGCGATCTTGGTACTGTATGTGCTGTCTCTAACTTGCATTTAGTGGAACCATCTTAACAGTATGACAGCCTCTAGCCTACCTGGAACATCCAAACCCTGCTGAAGGCATGATGGAAGATATCCACATCAAACAGCCACACCTTTAATTCAAGGGCTTTTAAATGTGGTTTTCTAATCTGTAGCACTGTGTCTTTTATAGGTGTGTCTATTTACAATAACTGCAGGTCTTAGCAGTCATTGGAGAAGGAGGGATAGGCAGGTGGATCAGCAAGGCCTTGGAATGATCAAATATCACACACCTTTACCCACTGAAAGGACAGTTTCTTGTCAGATGAGAGATGGAAAGAATTATACCACTCTCATTCCTGTATGATAAGCAGCCAGTTAACTTACGTAACTTAGAGCAAAAAGACTGGAAAGAGT